AAAAAAAAAAAAAAAAAAAAAGGAGATAAGCATAAACTCTCAAGAAAAAAAATAGATATCTATCCTACACTTACAAATATCTAGGAATCATAAAATTTGGGAGGAGTAGGAAATGTGAAAACAGTATTAATTTTTCAGATTATCTTGGTTTTATGGTACATAATGTTAACTGTAAGAGACATAATAGTGATAAATGTCTCAGATACATCAAATTATAATGAGTAGAAAATATATGCAGAAGTACTTCAGTTGTAAAAGTGGTCAGGGAATAACAAAATGAAATCTTAATTGGAAAAAAGCAAAGTAAACTTTGAAGAAAAAAGAGAACAAGGCCATTATTACAAAGCTAAACTTTTAGACAGTGATTTATTTTTTATGCATTTTTCTTAAATTTAAGACATTTTTATTTCAACAGAAACATAATGGATTATAGAAAATTAGAAAATACAAATTAGTAAAAATAAGAGCACTGTATTCACACTACACAGAGACAACTACTCTTTAGTACATTAGTTTTTATTATTCCAGATCTGTGCATCTGAGGATATATCTGTAGATATCCATATAATTTTTTTTTTTAGATAGAGTCTCACTGTGTCACCAGACTGGAGTGCAGTGGTGCTATCTAGGCTGACTGTAACCTCCGTCTCCCAGGTTCACGTGATTCTTCTGCCTCATCCTCCTGAGTAGCTGAGACTACAGGCAGGTGCCACCAGGCCCAGCTAATTTTTATACCTTTAGTAGAGATGGGGTTTCACCATGTTGACCAGAACAGTCTCAATCTCCTGACCCCGTGATCCACCCACCTCAGCCTCCCAAAGTGCTGGGATTCCAGGCATGAGCCACCGTGCCCGGCCATATATGTTTTTTTTCACATTGAAATCCTGCTGTTTGGAAACCAAATCTTTTCAGTTTATGGTCCATATCTTTCTGTTGCAGCAAATTGTCTTCTCATGTACTATATAATTTATATTGTGATCTCTCAAGTTCTCCCAAAAAGACTCTATAGCTGGTTTGTCCAAACCAGGATCTAACCCAGGGTTGCATTTCATATCTGTTTGCTGTCTCTATTAAGTCTTCTTAGGCTGCATCATCACCTTTTTCATGATACTCACATAATAAAAAAGAATCTGCAAGTTGTCTTATAGAATGTTCCCTCCTCCTGTTTTACTGGTTGCTTGTAGTTAATGATTTATGTTTCAAAAGTAAACTCTGTGGGAGTAGGAAGAATTTGGCCTCCTAAAATGTTTTTTAAAAATCACATACGATATTTAAGTGCAGAAACTGTAGTTTTTTATTTCTTCAAGTTGTTTGTACCTGTACCGTTCCTGTGGAGTGGTAAGAAAAGAAAAGAGTAAAGAAATTCAAGTAAACCAAAAATATTGCCATGAGAAAATTTTGAAAGTACATTCTAACTAAAAAAACAGAAATAACCATCTTGAGTTTTTGAATGTCTTATTTTGACTACCACTACTTGCCTGTATAGTAATTATGTGGCAGTTGATCTCCATGAAAATATAAAAGAGAAGAGAGGTATTATTTTCTCCTGGAAGTTTGTTCTTAAAAAACAACAACAAGCAAACAGAGAAACAAACAAAAAACAAAATGGAGCATTTTCTTTTCATATACAGCGACATTGACGTTTACATAGATTTACATAAATACGTATACCGCCTATTATTTTGCAAAATAAATAAGCAGAGAAAGGTTAGAGTTTGGTCTAAATCTACAGTTAACAAAGTGTTGGACACACGTATCAATTATACATAAATATTTTGCAATAAAAGATTGGACTGAAAAAACAGAAATACCACCCTTTCGATAACAGTGAGTTTTCTGGGATGTGTTAGGCATTTGAGCTAAAAATAATACCTTGAGTTGAAACATAAAATATTTCCTGAAATACATATTTAACTCGAATGCTCAAAAATATGGTCTTACACAAACAAAAACATATCATAATGATGAGTTTGTATCCATACTAGTTTAATTTTCTCAGCAGAGATTTTTATATCTTTAGAAAATCCCATTTGGAAAAATCTAGTTGAATTATAGCAACGTATGTGCTATAGTACTTTGATCTGTCAGGAAACAACCTTTAGGATGAACTACCTTTTTAGATTTTTCTGAAGTTTTATATGACAATATAGCAGTCATAATCCTTAAAAGACATGATTTCATTTATAGAAGAAGTTACACAGATTTTTTTTAATAGCTTTTTGAAATTTCAAGATTTTTTTGGATCATCCATCATCATTACTTCTGATCTATCTCTGAGCAAAAGTTTATTTAACAAGAGAAAATACTTTTTAAGAAAACGTAGTGTAAGTCCTTTTAAAAATATAAGATATAAAATGTTTTATGTGTGAGCACACCTGAAATTCTTTTTTAGTTTTGATGTGCATTGTGACTTCATGGTCAAGTATTTTTTAGGTGACATCTGTGTGTTTCACTCAAGATTATTTGGTATGGCATACGTGGATATATTTCAGGATGCTGACCACAGAAACCTCAGAGATACTGCTCTACTCTAGAACAAGTTAAAAATCACAACTACTGCTGTTTAAGCAAGGAAAATTTTATCTAAGAATTATCAGTTTCAAACTCATATCCTTGCTAACAATAGATTACCAAAACATTTTAAGAATAAAGATTTCCATTCAGTCTCTTCTTAATCCCTTTTTGGTACTGGTTCCCACTTTTTATGTAATGCTTCAAGTGCGAACCTCTTTTATTGAGTATATGATGCCTAGACACACTATTGATTCTAATACTCTTGTCATTATTCTGAAAACATGTCTGAACCAATTATTTTTCCTTCTCCTGACCTTTATCCTACCAGAGCTGCCCTTATCAGAGTTTCAAATAGCACTTTTGGCAATAACAACTCTCTTATTGGTATCCTTATACTCCAGAGGTGTGGGGTTTATAGCCTTCAGACCACTCATTTTTTGCATTAGAGCAGTGGTTCCTAAAGGAGGGTGATGTTGACCTCTGGCAGTCTGGAGACATTGTCATGACTAGAGGATGGGGGTGCTACTGACATCTCGTGGATAGAAGCCAGGAATACTACTCAACATCCTAAAATGCACAGGACAATTCCCGACAACAAACTAGTATTCAGCCCCAAATGTCAATAGTGCCACTGTTGTGAAAGCCTGCTTCAGAGAAAATACTGAAAATAAAATTACGTACAGCAACAATACTATTACAACATATTCCTTGTTTTTTAAATGCACCAATACCAATATTTTGGCATATGTTTTTCACACTGCTAGCAATTTTAAGTTTTTTTTAAATCAAATGGCATGTTGTGACTGTTCATCCTCAAAGATTACTTGTACATGCATGTTTTATTATTTGTAAAACACACATAGAAAAAAAACTATAGTCTTTACTGTGAGAAACATTTTGGTAGAGCAAAACCCGATGCACTTTTATATTTGCACTTCATCTAAATGATGCGATTTGCTTTTTCCTCTTCCTCTGTCTTCTCTCTGCTCATACTTTTTTTCTCTCTCTCATTCTGGTTGTCAGAACTCCCCTGATTGCAGCTGGAGTAATTGGTGGGCTCTTCATTCTGGTCATTGTGGGTCTGACATTTGCTGTTTATGTTAGAAGGAAGAGCATCAAAAAGAAAAGAGCCTTGAGAAGATTCTTGGAAACAGAGGTGAGGTATTTATTTCTCTCCCTCATGTGTTTAGGGATTTTCATTAGATTTAGGTTTAGATGATGTTCAGTTATTTAATCCAAGTAAAATTCTGTTCAATTTTCTATTAAGTTATTTTATTTTATTAAACAAAGCTTGTAAAAAAAGCAGATTATATCATAAAAATAGTCAAGACTTCAAGAGGGTAGATGGGAGTGGTCAAGAAAATTATTGTATTGGGGAAGGTATCTATATTTTGTGTGTATGGTTGGGGGGATCCCATTAGCAAGCTCTATCAGAGGATATTGAGATACCCTCTGATACCTCAATAGAAGCAGAACTAGAAAATATCTGCATCGAAAATATCTCAGTGGCAGATCTAGAAAAATGTTAAAAAGAAAGAGAATCTCTTTCAAAACAAAACTAAACAGACAAGGAATGCATGTTTTCATTAGTATCATCCAGTTGGTAGTCAGTGATCTCATTATACCAGCAGTGAAAGACTAAGCTTATAGGATAAAGCTTAGTGTTGTAGTCACATAGACATTACAGCACAATTCATGGGATGCATTTCACATTATGCATGGTGGTTATTGTGAGCATGTAAATTACTCATAAATGATTATAATGTCTTTTATATTGCTACCCTGAGTTCTCTAGCATAAAAGCAGATTGTTTTCATGGTACTGGTTACAGGGAAAAAGCAATCACAGAAGACTATGCATTACCAGACCCTTCTCAACTTCCATCCTACCTTTCTCCTGATACACACGTTTGTGTCTAAACAATTCAGAGCAATTCTGTTCTGAGACTAATCTTACCCAAGATTTGTTGTTTTTCTCATTGTCAGTATGACAATTTAACTTTTCCTTTGAACACTGACAGTAATGGGATGAATTGGAATATTCATTCATTCATTCATACATTTCGCATACTGATAATGAATTAAATTTTAGCTCTTTTTACCCAGAAATCAAATCTAGATAGAAATATCCTGTGAAAGTTTCTGGGAGCTACCTTACAGTTGCATCTAGGAAAACACTTTCTAAGGATTAGAGTTATCTGAAATTGGAATGAGCTGTCTCATTAATAGACATGTTCAAGCAAAATAAAGGTAGCCAGTTACATACATGGGAAAACCTAATAGTATTCCTACTTTAGTTGGAAGCTTATAGAAGAGCAATTTGATTACTTTTAATCTTGCACATGTGAATAAAAGTTTGGACACAACACATGTGCTTTGTGCTATGCATGTTTGCAATTTAGCTAGGAGGCTGGAGGCAGAGAGAATTCTTCCTCATGGCCAGCTTGAGGCAGTTGGTGAGAGAATTCTGAGAAGTGAAGCATTATAAACTAGTGTTGGAAAGGACTTGAAAGCTTGGAATAGGAGTATACATTTAGGTGACCACATAATGGAAGAGAAAATCCTGTAACCACATACAGGGATGGATCATTGCTATGAAAAGAGCTGTGTTGCTTTATCTTGGTTTGGTGTTTTAATGCAGTGCTTTACAGGAATGTGCTTCAAGCTGTCATTTTCTTACTAAATAAACAGACACTTATTGGTTTTATAAGCAGGTTCTTTTTTTATAGAAAATTATTATTTGACTAAATTATTTTACATTTGGAGATTAGATAACTGTAGATTCCCTATCTTTCTCTTAGTAAAAGAAAATACCTATGATTTTCTATCATCTAAATAAAGGGGGAATTTTTAAGAGGGTCAGTGTAAATCCTTAAATACTGAAGCTAGAAATCTCCCTCAGAAGTGAACATTTATTGAATCGATATAGTGTTTGCATACACTTAATGTTGGTACACATTCCTCAAATCATTTAGCTCCAGATTGTCTTTTTTTATGTTACATGGATAAAACTAGAAAACATATTTTTTCAACACAAACTGACTGAAATGCACTGTAAGCTTGATGCTTTGGTAGGTGATGTGATTAAAAAATGTATTAATGTGACATGATCCCATCCCTTGAAAAGTAACAGATATGGTGCTTACAATATTCCAGGCAATGTTCTAGAATTTCCCACATATGTTATCTAATTTCATCCTTTCTCAAGTTTCTAAGGTAATTATTGCTATACCTATTTCACAGATGAGAAATAAAGGTCTAGGAAGGGCAAATTGCTTCCTGTGAGTGGCAGCACTGTCATATAAATCTCCAAGTTTGAACCCTTTAAACCTTCTTTCTACCCTATCACTGCTGGCTCATAAAATGACACTATCCTTTTTTTAAAGGCATAATTTTTAAATTCCTAGAAACATGTGTCTGTAAATTACATTAAATGATACGCAAGAAAATTAAGGAAGACTAAAAAACTCAGGTAGAACTGTGTATATTTTAAGTATATCTCCTCCAAAATGCTGAAGCCTCCTCCCAGTATTGTGTGTGATTTCATGTGACTTTTGTATATGATTTTTTAAATGATCATAAAAGTTATTTATTATACATATAGCATGTGTATCAAAGTCTACCCAGTAATTCCTGTATGATTGAGTTGCTTTCAGATGAAGGGGACTCAGTTGAGCAATCATTTTGAAATTTAACAAATTAGTGATTCTTCCTGAGATATTTTAAAATGTGACTTGAATACAGTTCTATGTTATCAAATTTATATTTAGATAACATAAATTTGAAAATGCAATTGAAGAAGATGAGTTGTCAAACTCATCACCGAAGAAGAGTTTGAAGATAACCTAAGTTTATTGGTAATTTTTAAAATTACATTCTTCCTAAAATTCTTGCTATAGCTACACTTACCTTCACTCAAGAGTCTTCTACTAATTAAGTAGGCCATGATTTTCACAGAAGCATGGCAATTCATACCCAAGCTGCAAGGCCACGGTGCGCTTAGCTTTGTAAATAGATATTTTGAAATACTGTTGGACGTTCAAGCCTTTGATTATTATGCCAGGAAAAAAGAGACTATTTGTAAAGTTTAGTTCCTTAATTTAACTTTTAAAGGAAAAAGAAACTCCTATTTCTCATACTTGTCCTTTTACTCATACATAGATAAAAAGCTAAAATTTTTGACATAGGATACAGGTTTTTTGGTACCCAGAGTCTCTCTTAGATGTACATTTTTTTTTCTCACATATGCCAGTGATAGGCATGCATGCATATACTTTCACCCTTCTCATTTTTCTCCTAACTGAATCACATCACAATGATGACATCTAAAACTACCAGCCTAATTTTACTTCTCTGTCCACAACCCAGCCTACCCCATGGTTAGGTAGGTGTCCCACCCAACTCTCACCCTTCTGACCTGACCCACTGCCTGTTGTGTTCTGCTATATTTCTTCCTTCTTCTCCTTCTTTTTTTCCCTCTCCTTTGACATATTTGTTCTGGCTTCCCAGGTATATTTTAAGCTCTAAGAAGGCAGCATTTCCTTTTTTTAATGCATGAAATCCCCTAGCCTAGTATGCCTCATGGTAGGTGCACATTTGTTGTTGGCGTTTGCCCTGGCAAAGAGCAGGAGAAGAGAAAGGACATGGTCTGAAAGAATGGATGAATGTGTCAGTGAATAGTGAGTGGTGCATATTACAAAGGTATTGGTTGTCAAGGAAAACTCTTATTTGTGTGTTTTTGCTTTGTGAGAAACAGAACCAGAGTGAGAGAGAAGGATTGACTATTGGATTGAAAGTATAACCTTCTTCTTTTTGCTTTGCAGTTGGTAGAACCTTTAACTCCCAGTGGCACAGCACCCAATCAAGCACAACTTCGTATTTTGAAAGAAACTGAGCTGAAGAGGGTAAAAGTCCTTGGCTCAGGTGCTTTTGGAACAGTGTATAAAGTAAGTAAAAAACAACACAGTCCGTCAGTTATTTTAGGTTTTGTTTTAGACATTTAAAAAATAATAGCCAACAGAGCTATTACTTTAGACAAACTAATTTTCTTATAATATTCAGAAAGAAAGACTTTTATAATATTAAGGAGTTGCTACACAAATGAATTCATTAAATTTTATTGAATGAGCTGGGATGGATACAGTCTTGAGAGAAAAGCAAGAAACACTGATACAAAGCCAAGTATAGTTTATTTATCAATGCCTTTCTGAGCTCCTTGTATCATATTCCTTCTGGCAAATTTCTTTTCTTATCCAACTAGCAAGCCCCAACCCGTTTTCCATTTCTCCTACACAGTGCTCCATGAACCCCACACATGCCTTGGTAATATATCATAATCCTTTGTCTTTTTTCCTTCTGCTTTTTTATCCGAGCCTCCCCATCAGGACCCTATTGGCTGCTCTTTATAGAATACACTCAAATACCCTGATGTCTTAATAAGTTGGAAATAGTTTGTAAATCATTTTTTGCCTGCCTAGTTACATTTATAATTTTGTAAATAATGTCCATAGTTTTGATATATTTTTCATTATAAGCAAACCAAAAATTGTGACATTATATGTGAAATTCAGGTCAGACAGGAGGAAAAGGTGACATCGTATGTTTTCAATAAGAGCTATTTCTGGAAAGGAAAAGCTCAAATGATGGCATTTGTATGTTTACTTATTTGCCTTAATTACAAGACCAATTCAGAGGCCAGGCCCAAGATTAATTGTGGTGAAATTTATTTTAATGGTAAATAACAAGATTTAGAAACTCTTCTGAGCTAATGCTAAATCCTTCTTGTAATATCCATTACTTTGGCATTTAATATATTTCTTTTTCTTTCTTTTTTTTTTTTTTTTCCTGAGACAGAGTCTTGCTCTGTTGCCCAGGCTAAAGTGCAATAGTGTGATATCTACTCACTGCAACCTCTGTCTCCCAGGTTCCAGCAATTCTCCTGCTTTAGCCTCCCAAGTAGCTGGGATTACAGGTGCATATCACCACGCCTGGCTAATTTTTGTATTTTTAGTAGATACAGGGTTTTACCATGTTAGCCAGGCTGGCCTCGAACTCCTGACCTCAAATGATCCACCCCTTAGCCTCCCAAAGTGCTGGGATTATAGGCATGAGCCACTGTACCTGGAAAGAATATATTTCTTAAATATATCTGATAAAATCAATTGGATCTTAGAAACTTTGCATTTCAAAATAATCATTTTTTTCTATTTAAAATAATGATTTATTTAACAGAAAATATTAATATTTAGAATATAAATCTTAATCTTTCTCTCTTAGTGCTCCAAAATAATCTAATCTTAAAATAAAACTTGTATTCTAAGGTCTAAATGTAGAAGTTTCCAGATCTTTTAGTATACATATTTTGTTAAATTAAATTTGGTATTAATTTGACATAAATTTGAGCACCTACTTTGCATAGGTGCTGTTCTACTGTTCTAGGTTGACTTGATGCCTTTTCTAATCTTCAGATTTGATATATGTTCATAGAAACACAAATATTTCTGTTTCTCAACTTAGATTATGCTAGACAGAAACAGAATCAGACTGTATCCTTTTATATACTTAAAATGTGTCTAGTTACTACAATTTTATTCACATGTTTAATAATTTTAATCTGTATTCATTTCTACAATAAAATGGTATCAACAAATTATGTGGATAATAAATATAGAGTCCTAAATTGCAGTCTTGATTGTTTAAATTGAAAAATTGACAGTAATGTTGTGAATTGGATCAATACTGACAATTATTCTGGATCACTTAGCTGTGCCATAAACCCACATTCTAATGATTGGTTGCAGGATTTTTCCCCATCTGAATTATCTGGTAAATGCTTCAATTCTCCATATTCACAGATGTCACTGAAGGTTTCTGTGCTAAACCATAGGACAAGTCAGTAGAAAAATATTAGGGCTTCCTTCCTTTAAATGTTGACCTGTTACCAATTCTGCATGTGGCACAAATTTAAAGCAAGTAGGCAAATTTATGTATTTATGAAGAAGAGGAATAGGGAGATAAAAAGATAGAGATAAATGGCAAATTTAAATGTATTATAACATACTTCCATTTTTAAGATAACTCAATCTTAGATTGTTCCTAGAGTGTAATCACCCTACATTTTTAAAGATAATGTGGTCTGTAAACTAAATTTTATTTTAAACCTTGGATACTCTATAACTCAAGACTAAACACTATTTAATGTCCTCAGCAGAGAAAAAATGTTACAAATTTAAGCATTTAATAATAAAGCTTTATTAACTTTTATTAAGAGCATTTATTTGTCTATTGTGCATGAGTGTTTTACCTTTATTGAAATTACTTGTAATAAAAGTTTATTGGAAATTTCATAAGTTACTTTTTAATTATCTGCCTGAAGTGTCTATGGTTGACACTAAGTTTTAATGAATGTATCAGTTGTTATGAAGACATACTATCTTATACTATAAAGGATTATTCTGGACTGTAGAAATGCAAACTGGCTTAAGCAATTACTTATTTTTTCTCCTAATTAGAAATATTCTCTGTTTAAGCATAAAGATTAGAACCAATATCATTGATATCAGATAGTAAAATTTTTAATTGGTTGGGTCCAGAAAATAGTGAAATAATGAAATAAAATAATGAGAATAAATGAATAATTTAAATAAACATTTATTTTAAGAAGAGACATACAATAATTTACATTGAATTTATTTATTTATTTATTTTTGAGACAGGGTCTTACTATTTAGCCCAGGGTGGAAGGCAGTGGTGTAATCACAGTTCACTGTAGCCTCAACCTCCTGGGCTCAAACCATCCTCCCACCTGAGTAGCTGGGACCGCAGGCATGTGCCAGCACACTCAGCTCATTTTTTAATTTTTAATTTTTGGTAGAGTTGGGATCTCACTATGTTGCCCATGCTGGTCTTGAACTACCAGGCTCAAGAGACCCTCTTGCCTCAGTCTCCCAAAGTGATGGGATTACAGGCATGAGCCACCATACCTGGCCTATATTATTTTAAAAGTACACTTTAGGGATACTTTAATATTGATGCCGTGTCTTTATAAAGTAATCCCCTTTGTGGTTACTTTATTGAATAATGAATAGTAAGCCTGTTTTCCACCCTAGATAACATCAGTGAAAAAATGCAACCTATGAGTATTGGCCTTTCTTTTCTTTTTTCTATTTCTTCTTTAATTTGTTTTTAATTTTATACAAGAAACTTGGCTTTTTATTTTGCATTTGACACATAAATTTTCCTATTCACTCTGCCTAATAAGAATGCAACCATAAATTCACTTTCTAAAAGTTAAAGTCTTCTATTTTCTTTATTATTGTTACTGTGTTTTAAAATAATCCTTGTGTTCAAGTCTCCTTATGATGCTGCAACTTTGAGTAACACAAATACATATGTTGTAGCATAAAAGTTCAAAATGAAAAGTTTTTGAATTTTTTTTATTTATGACTATAACCAGCTGATGTTAAGAAAGACAGAAAGTAAAGATGTTCTGTTCAGGAATAACTATTTTTTTCGTACTTTCATTTTAATGTTAAAAATTTTATAAGAAATATTTTCTGATGTCAGGACTAAGGAGCTAAAATTGGACATTTTTGGTTTCTTGTCCTCATGACCTCATATTTGCATTTGTGTTCATTTGGGAAAATATATCTTTAAAATGTGTTCTTGTATTATCTGTACATCCTTGTGTGTCAGATCAAAATCATTGTCCTCATTCAAATGATATAATTCACTTTACCTAGAAATGCATTATTTAGCTTAACGTTGTATTTCACTCAAACCCTACCAACTTTATTCTTTCCCAAAGCATAGTTCCTATTCAGATAATATAATTGTATTTTAATAAGAAAAGAGAACTAGCAATAGCCACTACAGATATCTTATGCTTCTTCAGAGATAATAAAAACCCTTCACATGCAAACATATACACATGCTTTAATAATGTAGACAAATTAATATGTGTTCAATATTCCCTAGCACTTGTCTTTGAAAACTAATCTTAAACATTTACTGTTGAAAATTAATTATTAAATCAATCTGAACTTGAAGAACATGAGAATATGCTTTTTAAATTCTTTTTTTCTTTTTACTGAATAATTAGATAATATTCAACTTGAGAAGATTCTAACATTACTTAGCCCAGTCTTATAAATTACAGATGATACAATTGAACTTCAAAAAGAACAACCATATCAAAAACTCAATATCATCCAAATCAGATATTCTATGCTATCCTATTTCCATGCTTTCTTCACAATTCAAAGTCTTTTTCATGCACACAGTAGAATTTCACAGTAGTGCAAACATCTTGAAAGCAGGATATACATACTGTATATTCTATATATATAATCATATATATGCAAGTCATCTTCAGATAATGAAAGCAGACAACAAAGTTTCAGAGTAACTTGTTACATATAACAGGTGCTAAATAAACATTTGTTGATTTAGCTTATAATATTGAATGTTTTAATATTGAACTTCTAAATTATTTTGTAAGAACTTAATAGGTTGAGATGTCATATTTAATGTGAATTTTTTTTCCCCAAGGGTATTTGGGTACCTGAAGGAGAAACTGTGAAGATTCCTGTGGCTATTAAGATTCTTAATGAGACAACTGGTCCCAAGGCAAATGTGGAGTTCATGGATGTGAGTACAGACACCCAAGCAATCACATTTTTCTCCATTATCAAATAGCCTAGATAATTAAGCAAAAAATGGCTGAGATAATTAAAGCCAAACAAAACAAAAACTCCACAACTTATAAATTTCTCCTATAAAATGGTATAATCTTATAATTAAAGATATTTCTAAGACCACTTCACATTGTATTATACTTTTTAGATCATCTCTGCTTCACTGCTATCTGCCTAGATAGTTCACTAGAACTTGGCTTTAGAGTTTGAAGGTGTTTACAATCCCTAAGGTGAATTATCTTCCATGTTGAATCAGATGTGTAACATTCTTATATTTTCTTGTTAAATATAACCAAATAGCCCTCAAGTGACAGCAATATATAATTTCAACTGAAAAAAATATTTAATAACCAAAAATAACCAATTACATTTAATAATCAAATATCATGAGTATATTTCTTACAATTAGTTGCACTGAACAATATTAGAAAGGCTATGTGGTGGTGGTAATAAGTAACTAATATTTACAAAGTATTTACTAAGTGCTAAGCACTGTTACAAATAATTCACAAATAATAACTTACTTATTCCTCAAAATATGACAGACCAAGAACCTGGGGTTAACCCAAGATTACTCCAAGGTCACAAAGTTAGAACATGGCAGGTCTAGACTTTGAGTTGAGGAAGCCAAGCTTGAGTAGGGATCAGTAAACTTTTTTTTATAGGGTTGGATCATAGTCAGGCTTTTACATGCTGTGTGTTCTCTGTGGCAGGGGCTCAACTCTGCCCTTTTTGGTTGGAAAGCTGCCATAGATAATTAAAGCAAAACCAAACAAAGCAAAAACTAATGCAAATGGGTGTGACTGTGTTTCAGTAAAGCTTTTTATTTACATAAATAAGCTGCAGGCCAGATGTTGCCTAAGGGGAAGGCAGTGGCTAAAATTGATACTTTGAAAAATTAACCAAACTGCTTTATTTTATTATGGTTATGATGTATTTAGTTGAAAATATCAATCAAGATTAGTTTCTACAGCAAGTTAGTCTGTTAAATTTAAATTAAGAACCTACCTGAGTCAGGTAATTACCCCTTGACATTTACTTTTTTCAATTCAAATTCAGAAGAAAAGACTCTATGGGTTAAAATACTTCAACTATAGAATAATAACAGACCTCTAAAGAATAAAAAAGTACTTTATAAGGTCAATCAGAACTTTAAGATTTCCCACAGCAAAAATTGTGATTTGAACTGTTCAGCAAATTTCAGAGAGTAGGATGGAATAAAATTATATATGTATCATGCTGTTATTTTTTCACATTCAATACAAGATATCTTGCCAGGGGTTCTATCAAAGACCATATATGTTCTTTCTCTGTCTTTTAGCATAATGTCTTGAGTAATAAGAATGATTTCTATTTCAAATGACCTTTATATGAAAGATGATGCAAGCATACGTACTTTGATTTTTTTAAAAAGACAGATTGCTATATACCTCTATCCAGTTTCTCTTGAAAGCTCTTTTACAAGTTTTACAGGAGCTGTCTTTGACCTTGAATAATTTATTCGTGTATAGTGCTAACTACTTTGTATAAAACTACTTTCAGCTTAACTTATTGTTAGTTCTCGTATAGTAGGCTGATAATCAGCTGATACAAACCAGCTTTTTGGATTGGTTGGTTTCATGCTTTATCAGTTGCTAAATATTTTAAATATCACCTTGTTCCATATCTACCAGCATTTATGTAACAGACAATGAGGCCAGGAACTAAATAATGTTTCTTTCTTCAGTTCTCTAAAGATTCTGACACTCCACAGCTACATGTCCAGGATCACATGTTAAAATTTAAAACTGAAGACTTTTTCAGTGATGTACCAATTATTCGATTTGAGCTTGATCATAGCTATAAATTTGTGAAGGGAATTTTTAAAGAAAGTAGAAGTTATAAAGGGAAATTACAATGAGTAGAAACAGTATTGTTTAATTTATAAAACTGGCAGAAAAAAAATCGTGTCCAGCCTAGGCTGCAGCCAAAGCTGAAATTCACAAGAATGTTAATAATCTCTGCTGGAGGCTTGAACAGCCATTTTTGTCATATTTCCATGGAAACAGATGGCAAAGGGGGGTTAAGAGGCTACAAAATAATCACACCTAGGAGAAAGCTCTAAAAACCTCATGATGACTTTGAATGATTATTTGAAAGCTCCTAACCCCATCCATTTTTTTTTTCTTGCTCTGATGTATATTCCCATGGAAACGAGAGTAAAGACAGCAGCTTGAAGTCTTAGATTTCTGCTGAATTTTAGATGAGGTGCTGATTGAGCCATGAAAGGAGTCATTTTTCTAGATGGTTGATGGATTTGGTAACCAGCAGATTCAGAAGAATCTGTTCTTTTTAAAAGTTAAAAAAAAGTTAAGGTAAATATTTTGACTGTGCCTTTCCTACTTGTGGATAGATGCTAGAAGATTAACAGATTGATGAACAGCTATCAGCAGAGTTTTAATAAGTACCAGGCAGAAACATGTCCTATTATTTTGGTGCCTTCTTTCAAAACATTAGAAGGATAGCATCATGATGATTAAAATGCAATTTAACTGTCAATATTAATGTTGAATTTAATATTTAATGTAGGCTACTATAATTTTAGCATAAACATAAGCCTATATTTCATACCTACATTTTTAGCTCATCAGTTATGTGTTTAGATCATTATAAAAGTATTTGAATAATAAACCACGAAAAAAGAGATAAGTATAAGAAAAAATATTGTAATTTGAATCTAAGGATTAAGTTCAAATTCTAAATATTCTGGAGTTACTTGGTTAAAAGTAATATGTTTAACTTGTTTAGTTTAGGTTCTTTCAGATGCAGAAGCTATGCCTGAAATATGAATTTGAGTGAAAGTCATTTATTTTGGAGGTGAAGGGCTCACCACTTAGGGGAGTGTAGAAATAAGAGAGGGGAACTAATAAAGCTAGCGGCCATTGTGAGTACTGGAGCTCCTTTTCACTGGGAAGACTCTGGCAGCCAGTGTAGGACATACACCTCAGAATTATCCCATTCAAGGGTTAAGGGAGCTGAGGATGTAGGACTGCTGGGAGAAAGTGACATTTCACCCCCTACATATCCTTCCAGCCCAGCATGGCAAGATAGGCGTCAGTGGAAAGAAAGCTGCCAAGCAAAGAAAGGTGGGTAGGGGTCATCTGGTATAACACTATGGTAGAGTGTTCCAAGGATAACTTTCAAACTAAATAAGATCTACTGCAATCATGTTTTGAAAACTAGTGTATGTGCATATTTGTATTTATAAGCTTGTGCTTTTATACCATTCTTCAGCAGAAAAATAAAGCTTCCAAAGACAATGGAAATTGCATACTCTTATTAATCGTTAGAACCCCTTTCCCCCCAACTCGTAACTTTATGCTTGCAATAGAATAGTCCAGATTCAATAACCACCACTGCTATATTCATCATAAATAGCTGTGCTTTACTGGTTATTTAAGAAATAACACAAATGTAGCAACTTAATACTCAGAATTCATCACTGCATTAAAAACTCTATTGATATTCAAGGGTAAAGGAGAGGACTTTTATATTTTCTTAGAATTTTTAACATAGGAAAAAAATAAATAGGGGCAGTTTGTGTTCTATTAAATGCCACACTAAAAGCAAAAGAAGGAGAGTTTGGTCACCCAGGGCTGTTACTCTGCTCACCTGAATATGTCTAATGGGTTTATAATGACAATAATAACACACAGTTAGTGAATGGCCAGTACACTCTTCATTCCCATAAAGAAAGATCACATTGAATACATTAAGAAAATGACTCCAAAGGCCACCTTCATCAGAATACCTGCATTTATATGTGCTCCTAGTTCTTGTTTCAAATAAAACCATTTCACTGGGAAAATGAAGGCTTTTTTGGTTGTTTTTTGTTTTCTTTTTTTTTTTTAATCCATCAAATGGTGCAGATCACATATATAAGAAATGATGCTATTGAACAAGATTCTTGGAATTGTGCATTATCATCTCATAAAATCAGACAGACTCTTCACTTTTTCTGAGTTCCCGTCACTCTGTATTTTCTCCCAATATTTAAACCTAATATCAGTTGACTTTGTTTTTCTATGTTTAATCTAAATTATTTGTTTTTGTAAAAGAAACGAAAGAAATTCTGTGATTATTCTAAATTCTAGTGACTGACCAACAGTCATGGCTTTGTATTTGCATGATTTTTTTTGGCTTCTTTTCAACTTTTCCACACCAAATTCACCACTGTAAAATATTGCAAGGAAACATGTTTTAAATCACCTAACTTTATTATGTAAATAGTAACATTTTTATTAAAAGAATAGCTTGTTTTTCTCTCCCTATACTACAGGAAATTTTATTTATCTTATGCAACTGCTCTTTTTCTATTTTCTGAAGAAATGTTCATGTGAATTGTCTTTACATGTTTCTCTTTTCTCTATTTCCTTCTGATATTTGGTATCTTGGGAATTATTTCAACTCTGATACCATATTAGTGGGGTAAAATAATTTATCAGTAGTTTACATTTTCTCTCAGAGTTTAACAGGCTTACAAAATTATTTGAAAAGATGTTTTGTTCTATAACGTTTTCACATTATTAAATTTAATGTGTATGACTTCACATAGTAAGAGTAACTCTTAGCTATATCCTGTGTCATACTAATAGTGGATTTTTATTTGTAATTTTTGTTTACACAGTAGGTATATATATTTATGGGATACATGAGATGTTTTGATACAGGCATGCAATGTGAAATAAGCACATCATGGAGAATGGAGTATCTATCCCTTGAAGCATTTATCCTTTGAGTTACAAACAATCCAATCACACTCATTAAGTTATTTTAAAATTTACGAGTAAGTTATTCTTGACTATAGTAACTCTGTTGTGCTATCAAATAGTAGGTCTTATTCATTCTATTTTTTTGTACCCATTAACCATTCCCAGCCCCCCACTATCTTTCCTAGCCTCTGGTAACCATCCT